AACATATATAGACCGAAGTGAAGGATCGACTTCCTTCTTTGTGCACTGAACAAAATTGAAATAGAAAATCTGTGAATACTCAGGAATAAATAATCTCTGCTTCAAATATGAGAAATCTCGCAGTAGAATTGCAAAATAAATTCTTGTTGATACAAAAACATAATAAATCCGCTACGTACTATTTGCAGAACATTAAATCTGCGATGCACTTAAAGATCCCTGAACTAGTTATTTATAAATTATAAAATACACTTTTCAATAATTATTTAAAGAAAAGCTGTGTTGACTGATTTCCAATTATAATTGATAATTAATAATCAATAATAAACAAACTGAGATTTAAGAATAGTTGACCAAATGTCATAGTTTTTCATAGACATTAGCATGAATTTACTTGTTGAAATTACTTCGATCCTGTGGAAAATGGGTCAATTTCTTCGCCGAAGGATGACGGTCCAAATAGGGAAACCGTTCTTTCATTAAAAAACTAGAACAAACAATGAAACTTAAAAATGTATTATAAAATCGTCGATTAAGTGTGACTATTGAAGATAAAAAATCAATATGATAATCGTTCGAAACACGTGAGATTTTTCTCGTTTAGAAAAACCGTTCAAACAATCACAGTCATTTGTCTCGTCATCCGAGGTAAAGAAGAGTTTCGATCTCTTGTTCACTAAAGTACTTAGGTTTGATAAGTATCCTTGATGAATCGCAGAATTTACACGCATCCTAATTTATTTATCCTGACAATGCTCTTAGCAAAAGAAAACATCCGCTATGATTAATGAGAAAATTCTCTAATTGATAATTTTGATACATGCATATATTACTTTTTATATCGATATTTTATGTATTCAGATCTAAAGTACTTAGGTTTGATAAGTATCCTTGATGAATCGCAGAATTTACACGCATCCTAATTTATTTATCCTGACAATGCTCTTAGCAAAAGAAAACATCCGCTATGATTAATGAGAAAATTCTCTAATTGATAATTTTGATACATGCATATATTACTTTTTATATCGATATTTTATGTATTCAGAAAATAGCAGTTATTATAATATGTGTAATAACAGACTGAAACTGTTTAGAACATTTTAATCTTAATCTAAGAGATCAGTACTTCATACGATCTTCGATAAAAAATTTGATATTATACAAGATAAATACCCGTAATACACATCTATTCTCTACAGATAAGAATTCGATAATCACAATGAATGATATCCTACCGCTCAGACTTTATTCTAAGTGTCATGATCGATGAGCGAATACAGCCACTGGTTGTTGTTTTCGATCCTATTATCACGCGTTCCGCCTCTGGGGGAAGATAAGGGGTCGAGAGAAATCAGTATCTGACATCCGCGGATCAATCCGAAATCGCGAGTATACACGCGAACGGCAACCGCCTCTCGCGACTTGCTCGCCGCTGGGTTATCACCAGAGGTTCCCTGTCGTTATCAGCACCCGACATTTTTGTTTCGTACCGACAATGCAATTGCCGTTCCGCCGAGCGTGTAACATCGCCGTAAGCGTAAGTTTTCAGTATCGTGGCGCCCGGTATATAGTGATGCAACGCGGTGGATGTGTTCTGAATCGTGCGGTTTTGCTCAGGCGAAGTATGAGCGTCGCGAAACTTATCAGGTATGCCACACTGATATGCTCCGGCGGGATGTGTATCGTTATCGGTGGATTTGCAATATTAACCGGGACATTTCTATCGATAAAAATTCAATGCCGAATTCGCTGCGATAAGAAATGTGTGTTCGTTTCCTGACGTCGAGTCGCACGAGTTTTTCCATCACCGTTTTCTAACAGTTCAATCACATTAGATGCTCGACATTTTGTTTCGAAATCCAGCTATTCAGATTGTTCATATTGGTAACACGGTACTACCGATACCAGGCAAGATTTAAATAAAAGAGTGATTCACAGTTTTTATTAAATATGTATTAGTTAGTATTTATTGCTTGCAAAAGAGTAAAATTAAACTGCACTGCCCGGGAATCGAACCCGGGTCGCAAGGATGGGAATCTTGCATGATACCACTACACCAGCAGTGCTTCTTGCGGACGGTTACGAAGTGTCGGCGGGATAACTACCGGGACGCTTGCAAATATTTCCAATTTATTATTCATAAAAATGAAATCGATGCGAGACACATACGCCTATAAATAGCCTGCGCACTGGTCATTTAATATGAAAAATCAGAATCTTCGAACTCAATCGATAACAAATACATATAAACAAATATGTGTAAAATATGGATAACAATAATAATATGTAAATGGAAACAATAATTAATTGTCTCATTTATATTTCACATTATATATATATATATACATATTTATGATATAGATCCAATTTAATTTTATACTGACAGGAGGTTAGACAAGCTTGTTTAGACCATGTGTAAAATTGAGTGATTAGTGAAAAAAAGAATTGCAAAAATTAATTTACATGTGCGATGGCCGGGAATCGAACCCGGATCAACTGCTTGGAAGGCAACTATGCTCACCATTACACCACCATCGCACTTGGCGAACATAACTCACCGTACATCATTTCAACCCCGTTTCCTCTGACATACTTTCATTTGAGGTTTATGCCAATGTCGTTGGATTTGTGTAATTTTCCACTTTCCGCGTCGTAACCGATCTAACAGCGGGAAATGCGATATTGTCCGTTCGTACCACTAGCTGCTGCTTCTAAAACGTGTGTCCAGAAGGACGCAACCTCATTGTCAACCGCACTGCACTTAAAAACAGCTTTACGTTCCGTCAATGGGAAAATATCCTCATTTCTAGTGCTGGACGCCATGAAATCAAATACTGTAATTGGTCCTTACGTTTTATTGACATACAACCCGAATTTCAAATGTAAAGAATAAGTGCAAAGGTCTAATAAAACCAGGTAGGAACACGCGAAAATTACCGGGAAAAGTGAGGTATAAACGCACGACGAAACGACGAAAAGAATGAACAGTCGGTACGTTCTGGAAAGTAATTAAGCCTAAGGTCCAAGGAATAACATCGAAGGTAAAGACATTTATGACACCCTAAACTGTCCTAAAGTGTATTGCTCTTCTTCTATAGCTCGTACCGTTATTTTACGAGTGGTCATTCATTTAATTTTCTTTTTTCCTTACACCAGCATAGATTTGAATATATCTGAATATACTATTCTCTAATTTAAAAATAACATATAAAATTATAGAAAATACACCAGTGTACAGAAACAGTTACGTGAGCAGAGCAAAGTATATATACCTTACTTCAAAAATCCGAACCTTCATTACAAAATCGAACATTTCGAAAACCTTGGAATCGCAAAGATTTGTTTATCGGATTAAACTGGAAAATTCCAGGCAGCAGATTGATTATATTGGTTAACGTTACAAGAAGGACGCGGCCCTGGCGTGGCGCCTGTCCGCAAAATATTTTGGTTAGCCCCGTCGATTTTGCAACGACGCGCCGCGCCGCCAGTTCGGCCGCAATAAATTTTGATCACTTTCATACCATAATTGCATTACGCGCAACTGGTTTACAGTTATGTGTTACGAGCTTATATATATATAATGTGTATCACTGTTTTATTATGCAATCGGAGAGGCGCCAACGCGGGTTGCGAGTTGGGTTTACGAAAAATATTTCTTTACTCCGACACGAACGTCACAGCCGTGCTTTGTGTCAGAGTTATGTATAGCCGGACTCCGAAACCGTTCGTCACGGACGGGAGTTCAACAGCATTGGGGCACGAAGTCGTCGGCCGGAAGTCGACCGACCACCATGGTCTCGCTTCCTTTTTACAATGTAACATTTATTAGAGAACCGAAGAACGAAACGTCTGTCTTTTCGATAAATTGTTCACTGAGAAAAATTACGATTTTCTGCCTAGTCAATTCGCATTTGAATGAATGCAATTGTAATAATTATACCAAATGCGAAATTGATATAGCACAATAACAGATTTTAATTTCAAGAGTTTTATTTTTGCATAAAAATTCACAATCCAATGTATCATGTCATAGTGTGTCATGTCAAGTGCTATGTCAATGTTTTTAATATACATTACATGTTATTATTTATAGGACTTTTTCAACCTTAACATCAAATATATTCTTCATATTTTCTACACATCAAGTTTTTCTATTAATGCATAAAACCCGCAATCTAATGAGAATTGTAGGACTTGTAGAGAATAAACAAATTGCACTATTCTTCAATTACATGAATTAATTTTTTTATACTATCTAAAATATCTGAAGGATGTGATAGCAAATAATGTGGAACATGGGACGATTTGTAGAAACGAGAGGAACAATTTTTATTTCAATTGTATAGAAATTTATTTTAAATAAAGAGAAAACGGGAAATGGGTCAGCCACGGTGTAGACTGCGAGCATCATGGCAGTCGTAAGGTCTCCTTGCAAACGAACCAGTTAATCGTTCGTTCGCCTTTCATTGTCGCTTTCACTGATTAGAACCGAGGCTAGCACAGAGGCTTCCGAGTGCTACGAAAACAACCTTCACTCTCCAAACGACTTCTCTTTTTAACAAAAGGACAGAACCAAAGAAACGAGTGGGAAAACGTGAATGGCACGTGTTGCATTTGACTGGAAACCATCTGGAGTGCGAATTGTACAGACTCTGAAATCAACTTCGAAGAAATTCAAAATAAAATCGAATTATCAATGACAAAGTGCCCGCGACGATTAAAAATATCTAACAGATAAAATAATGTGCATTACATAATATCAACTCGATAAATCATTCGCTGGATTAACGTCAATAGATAATAACTTCTGAAATGACGCGGTGATTAATATTACGAAATAAAACGACCGAAAGCTCATAAATTTTCTAAATAAAAAAACGTCGTTTGGTTGCGCGTCCTTTTTTAATGGCGCACGGTGTTAAGATACGTGCACTGCGGTGGGGAGTGGTGGGGCGCGAGTTAGAAAGCCCTAAGTGCCTTTCAGTTCAGAGGCTGCACCCGGTAAAGTCGTTGCTCACAATCAGTGAACTCGGAGCGGTCGTCGATCGCGGTTTACAGTCGGTCACCCGGGAGCTCGCCCGTTTCATTCAGTCTCAGCTCGAGGGGATTCCGGTTCTCCACGAGGCCCCGTTTTGCCTCCTCGTCTCAATAGCGGGATCGGGCCCTTCCCTAGGGCGACACTACCGCCGCGTAATTGGAACGTCGCGAGCAAATTCGTTTTAGTCGCGACGCGACTACGTTTAAACTAGAACCGCCGGCCTTGTAAGTAAGTATGCTTTCTCTTTTTAAAAATAGGCGCGCGTTCCCTCGCGACCGATTTTCCTGCGCATAAACGATTTCGTTCCGATGATAGCCAACCCTTTCAGTGTCGTGGTCAAATGAAAAATGTGTTATTATTCAGTCCTTGCATATTCAGATTTCTCGTATCTAGGTAAGTGGGTCAAGATGTTAAATAAATAAGTGCATGTGTACAAGACATGATAGGAAATATTAAATTCACTGTCGTTAATATTGAGACAACGTATATTACGTATAAAATATTCTGAAAGGGTTGAAGACGGTCATTAAATTCTCAGTGTTTTCTTTTTTTTTCGAGATTATAATTAGACTCTCAAACTCGGTAAAAAATTCAATAAGCCCATGATTAAATTCCGTCCGTCGTGGAGTGAAATTCGTGCGAGAGAAGTAGGTCGCAAACCCGTGGTGGAATGGAATAGAATTATCGCGAATCGAGCATTTCGGTGTTAAAAAGGACTCGACCGAACGAAGTACGAGGGAACGGGGACTCGAGTAGCAGTTTAGAATCGCTGGTCGAGGTGAAACGAAATTGACGGGCAACCTGGAATTGCGCAACACTTTCTAACGTTTATTTATTCAACCGTACGTAGACGCGAATGGTACAAGTTTTTTCTCTTAAAGCTTCGCAACTAAATCGAGAAAGAAAGCTGAGAACTAGATATTCGGTCACGTGCCAAACAGCTGATTCGCGTTACAAGGGATCGTAAAAATCACCGGAAGATTCTATCGCGAGGAATAAATAAACTCCGGATCGGCCGGGTTCACTCGCTTCGGTTAATAAAAACATGAAGGCAGGGAGAAAGTATATTAAGTCGTAAAATATTGTAGTGGCGAACATGTGCGGGACTCTCCGAGCTAAACATGTGTCGGGAACTTTTGTGACGACGAGGAACGCGTGGTGAAACCGGGGCCCGGGTCGTTTGTGAAACAAATTGGAAAAGAGCGATGTTTCACGGATAATGGACATGGTGAGAGAAAAGCCGAGACGTCGAAGCGTGAGCGAAATGCTCGACTGGCGATGGACCGCCAGGAACAAAGGGAACGCAGCCTCGGACGACACGTGCACGGACGTGCCCTTTCTTGAGGATCTAGACAAGGACCCGGAAATGCGCCGCCGGAAACGTTCCGGTACTTGGCCGTGAGTAATCGACTCTATGAAACATTTCGAAAGTGCCACTAAAGGATATCGTCTCGTATTAAAATTCGTTCACCTTCCGCGTTTAAATTAATAAGTTTCACTTCTTAATTAACACCAAGATCATCAGATTAATACTGATATCAAAGTAGAAATTATTTTTAAAGAATTGGCTTGTTCAATTGTCTTCGTAAACAAAGTCTTCAAGTCCGGTATGGTCTAGTGGCTAGGATACCTGGCTCTCACCCAGGAGGCTCGGGTTCGATTCCCGGTACCGGAATTTACTTTTTGCCACTAGGTCAATTTATCATCATAGAACTATATATTAGAATCAAAGAAGCAAACCCATGAAATTTACTTTTTATTTTTAATAAAGAACCGTTAATACTAAAATGCGAGAAGCAGTAGATCGAAAAGTTAACGCGAAGCGAATATACGTTCGGTGAATTTCGTAATTAAACAGGGCAGCGTAATCCGAATCCAATTCGTGCGAAACTTGAGCGAAGTTGTTTGCTTGCTCAACATTCTTGCATTACTCAGGGCCATCGGCTGGCTGCAAACTGACAATTTGTCTCTGGCATGCCGGCTACTTTGTCAGCTGGACGCGCGTACATAACTGCGACTGTAATTAATACTGTATCTAGAACCGTACGGCAATAATAATTACGGTAATCAGTATCAATTTACTCAATCGACTCGGTTCACTTTTGTTTTTTCGTCACGCATTGTCACGACTCACGACGAAATCGCGGAGTTGCGTAAAAGAAGTTAAATAAAGACTGCAGTCCGGCATGCTTGTTGGAATTGGTTGGTCTTCGGTGGTGCCGGAGCATGCGTGCACAACACCAGGTGTCGCGACGCCAGCGTCGACCCATCCACGGTATCGTAGCGAAATACTTTATTTTCCAACCGTTCAGTAACGAAACGCGCCCTTACCCTAACCTGAGCACTCCGATATTTCACGGACAGGATCACCTACCTTTGGTAATACCCAGTGCACCCGCCTAGGCGAATTCTCACACATGGATGAAGACGAAATAAGGTAGGACACGTGTTGGTTAACTTGTGTTTTTCTGACATGTGCACGCGTGTGCATCGATTATGGGGTGGGTTCGTACAGTAATATTAGATCGAGAACATCTCCTGTTGGCACACAGACACGTTGTTAAAAGATTTATAATTGAAATTTTGAAAAAGGAATTGCAGAGTTAATTCCATTCTGAGATAAATCAATTAACTGAGACTATTTCTTATAGTGACACTACACCCTTTCGTAAGTAAATTCCCTTGAACTTACGAAAGAGTGAAGTGTCACTATAAGAAATTCTATTAGATAGAAGATCATAAACATTTTCTTGTGTTGGATAATCTTATGTAAGATAAAAATACTGATAAAAGATTGAAAATTAGAATTGTTGTCGTGAACCCGAAGGGTGCCAGAAGTACACTATCGTTTGAAAATAACTTTATTTCGTAAGTACAAGAAATTGAACTTCACTCGGCGATGGCTCGTTTCTATCTGCCGTTCGGGTATGTCAGCTCGAAGAAAGAAAACAGTGAAAAATCTGGTGGGTAAAGCCATAGGGAGAGGAAATAGCGAGAGAGAACAAGGAAGAAAGTTTATGGTTTGCAGGGCCTTGAGACCCAAGGGTAAACTGTTTTATGATAGGAAAGTGAATTTCGTGGAAACTACTATTGCAGGGATTAGAATGGTTACCAGATGTTGGGGATGGAGTGTAAGGGAAAACTTTGCAACAGCAATGGAATTGTTAGAAGTATTTAACATTGTTAATGAAAAATTGCAAAGTGAATTCTGAGATAAATCAATTAACTAAGACTCTGAAGGAATTTATTTACGAAAAATCGAAGTGTCAGTACAAGAAATTCTGTTAGATCAAAGTCTTAAACACTTCCTTATGTCGGTGCACAAAAATGTTGGTAGATTAAAAATAAAAATTTTTAATAAGAAATTGCAGAGAATTTTTAATATGATTTCTAATATTCTAACGTATTGTTTCGGCACTTGTTAATTAGATTTTACCTAACTTCCAATTGTTGTATTTCAAACATGTATTAACGGCCATACGAAATTCTGTTATTACTGCATCTATATTTTTTCATGAATAAAATCAAAATTTTAGCATTCAACATAAGAAATCAAGTTGTAATAATGTATTTAATAGCCTCGCAAAATGTCGAAAATTTTGCATAGTACTTTATTAATATAATACCTAATAACTGTTCAAATTGGAGTTGGCCATTGTTTTTAGTTAAAAGCTCATAAGATCTTAACTGGAACTCTAAGGAATTTAGTTATGAAAGAGTCAATTTTCACTACAAGGTATTCTGTCGTAGAGGATCGAACCAGGACTAAACGCTTGTCGTAGGTTGTGGTTTGATGGAAACGAAAGGAGGGTGACCTGTTGAGGCTAGCCGGTGAACTGTTAGGCATCATTAAAACTCGCGGATCGCACCTCGTTTCTTACACGTGTGCACGCAGTGTAGGCCGACGCGGCCCGTGTATCTGGCTCGAATCGGTGGGAGTGTTTTTTGCTGCTCCTTTCTTTAAGACCCGAGAACGCGTTCACCTTTCGCCGGTGTACATTCCATTTTGTCCGGCACGGCAACCGCCGCCGATGGGCCCCTATGGGCTCCCGTGGGCTTCGCCAATGGCGCCCCCATTACAACCGTCGCGTTGGAATTTCAGAAATTCTCGTTCGATGCAATCGATTACCGAACCGGACATGGCCGATCGTTTTCACCTTTAACGGATCGGAGCCAAATGGAGGGAGAGGGAGAGGGAGAGAGAGAGAGCAGACACAACAGATTGGGAAAGAAAATCGAGCGACGCGTCGCCGCGACGACGGCATGGCACAGGTGATTTTGCAAGTCGTCCGTGGACAGAAATCTGGGCCAGGCGACGATTAGACGACGTTGAAAAGGGCCTTCTCTCCCTTACCGTACGGTTCGGTCGGTCGCGCGTGCACGATTCCCCATGGAACCTTTCTCCCTCGTTTACCGTCCTGTACGTTTCTCAATCAAACGGGAGAAAGTCGCGTATCGGATAGTGAAACCATGAAGAAAAGTTACCTAATACACTCCGTCAAATTCCTGCTCTTCTCCGGTCCTTCCGCGTCTTGATCGAGCATCACGTTTGTCGTACCTGTAATTTAACATTGCATGGAAGTTTTAAATCCTCGGAGGACGATTCACAATTCATGTTAATTCGATGAATCAATGCATCAATGTTTGCGAGTTGCATCTTATCTAATGCATTTTTCATGACTTGACATCGTGCAGTGGCCATCATTTAATCCTCACGTTTCATATCATACGGGAACGGAATTGCCATGAGAAACTACTTATTCTTGATAAGACAATCTGACATAATCTAAGGTTGCGCAATGTAGGCGACATAGTGCCGACAAGAACCGTGGAGTTTACGGTGTACCGACGAGTCGGTTCCGTAGAAAGAATCCCATAATTGCTGGCTACCTCCGGTCTGATCGTCATTCCGCGTGCAGCTACCTTGCGATTCGGTCCTTTCTAAAGGCCTCTGCCTCCGCGGCGTTCGTTAATAGGAACCGGCGGATCAGTGAGTGACTCCGAATGCTCGCGTTGCTTACGGTTGAATTCTTCGGTTTTCGTCGAAACGAAAAAGGAACTTCTTCGAAAAGCTAATTGATAAGTGGGAATAGGGATCATCAGTGTGCGTTGCAGAAGAGGATGAATAATACATAGACTCAGCCGCGTGCATTCCTTCAAGAGAACACGAAGCGAAGTTCAAGGCTAACAAATTGACGCCTTTGGAGTCTTCCATCGTGAGACAATCATTAGGAGAGTGGAACCAAGTTAACCAGTTGATGAAGTCAGAGTTTGGTCAATTACTCCAATCAAGAGGATATTAAGACGATATCGTGAGACAATTATTGTAACAAGAAGAACCTCTTAGAAACGTCACTTTTCTTGGATACTGTAAGAGACGAGACAATAATACGGCATAAATAATAAAGACTGAATTCTAGTGCAAAGCGAGAGGAACGTCCATCCAAGAATTGCACGCCCTTGAGTCTAAATTTCTCGGTAGCTATCTCGAAGGACGTTGTTAATTTCATGCTACAGCGGCCTTCAGTCTTAAACGATTAGTTCCGCAAAAACCATCAGGTTCCTTTTTTTTTTTTTTAACGAGAATCGTCGAGTTACGAACGGAACGAACCAGGCTTTATGCAATATTTGATGTGCTATCACGGAGAAAACTACTGCTATCAGGAGATACTCGATCCGCATCAATATCAAGCGATATGCTACTGTAGTTAGAAGCGAGAGCTCCGTGCCTAGTGTTTATGGCAACTTGAGCACCACGTGAAGCACCTCGCTGCTTACTCGTGTGTTTAAACATCGAGACAAATACTCAATGGAACGAGCATAGACTATAGACCGCAATAAACGATTGAATTTTTTCATTGTGCAATTAACAAAATTAAACCGGTTAAAAAAATTTATTATATATAAAAAATAGTTAATCAGTGCTTAAAATGTGAAAAATCTCTCTTATAATAAAATTGTAAAAGAAATATTTGTTGAAGCAAAGTCAGAATCTATTTTTGTACTCTTTGCAAAGAAATAATTCTGCGAAGCACTTAAAGATCTCTGGATTAGTTATTTATAAATCATAAAGTGCACTTTCCAATAATTATTAGAAGAAAAATTGTATTGGCTGATTTCCGATTGTAATGGACAATTAGAAACTAATAATAAACAAACTGGGATTTAAGAATGGCAGACCAAATTTCACCATTGATAGACATTGATATGAACGGATGTGTTGAAATTACTTACGACGTGTTCAATCCTGTGGAAAATGGGTCGAGCATCTCGGCGAAGAATAACGCTCCGCGTAACAGAGTCCTCAGGTAGAAAAACCGTTCCTTCATCCAGGAACTAGAACAAATAATGAACCATAAAAATATATTATAAAATCGTCGATTAAAAATGACTATTGAATAATAATGATATATAATTCATATGATATTCAAATTAATTCAATGTAAATCGTTATGATAATCGTTTTGAAGCACGTGCGTTTTTTCTCGCTTTGAGAAACCGTTCAAACAGTGATACCAATCCTATTTACATTTCATTGGTTATTAACATGTTTCAACGTCAAATTTGAATTAGAGATACATGTATGCATATGCATGTTCTTTTTATTCAAAAGTCTACGATTTCAATGTTAATCATTCTCGTGAACCTGCATGATCTTTGGATTTGAAAAACGCACTAAAACAATCTATGATAATCATTCGTTTCTCTGTTCAGTCTGACGATACTTTTTTATCATTCGGTTTTATCAGACTTACAGTTATAGAAAACATCGGTCGGTTCGGGTCGATAGTTCATACGGTCGAGAATAAAAATTAAGGCGAGAATAAACGACTCCACTTTAGTCGTATTCGATAAAAACGAAAACAAATTAGAAGCAGTACAAAGCGAAAGAGCAACGAGTGATTCACGCTCTTCGCTTTCAATTTTGTTGTATCAATCAAGGTAAACCGTTTTCACCTTTGTATATTCCGTAAAAACCCGTTGAAATTGCTGAGTGTGCGGGTATTACAAATCAATTTGCATGTGCACCTTGTAACTTGGACATTAGTATATACTGCAACAGCGTGTTAGCAGCAAGCTTGTAAGCTATTTCCGCTTAAGGAGACGAGACATGAAAAACAAAAAGTTATTTTAAAGTAGTTTGTTTTATTAATCTACTTAATATTTATTTTTATTCACAGGAGGACGAGAAGCCTGAACGCGCCGAGTCCAGTCCAACAGTTTGGCCCGTGTGGCCGTATGATGAAGAATTCCGCAATGGTCATGTATGTACATACATTGATTGAAACGTCAAACCTTTTTTAAGAAAAGCTTTTCTTCAGATCTGAGCCAGCGAATCTTATCACTCTTAAGGGGGTAAACTCTGATAGCTACGCAATATAGTAGACTGTCAATGATACAAAATTGGCCAAAAATATGGGTTTACAGGAATATACTTTTCATCCTTATATGAGAATACTTTCCGGTCTCTTTAGAAAGAGGAAAGTCAATTATCTTAAAATCTGGTCATTATTTCAATGAAAACAGCCTGCTTTCAATAAAAAACAATCGCTTATTAACGCAGGCATTGTAACTACGATTTTTCGTCCGTATTATAACGCTCATATTACTAAATATCAGCATATTCTGATTAAATAATGACCAGAGCGCGCCAGATTTGACTTTCGTCTTTCTGAAGAGGTACCTGTCGACCGGAAAATATTCTCACGTAAGGACGAAAAGTGTAAACTCATATTTTGCACTATTTTTGTCTGGTTATCGATAAAACAGTACAAAAAAATCAAAATTCTTCCGACGCGTGTTAGAAAAGTCAGGTGACTATCATCTGAATTTTGCTGAATCAGCGGTAATCAGCTGAATTATGTATTACATAAAAGAGGATGTAAAGTGATTTTAATTATTAGCAGACAGAAATGCAGTTTTACATAATTGCGCACTCTCATGTTATAAAAACATTTCCAGTCTAATTACGTCCGAAGCTCGTAAACTTTTGAAAAGTCGGATAAGTTACAGATTCGTAGAACTCGATTTTCCACCAGTTTTTCTGCCCACTGTCGTTCCGGCTAATTGGCCATCAGAGTTTACAGAGCGAAGGAAAGCATCGCGCGCGGTTGTCTTGACCCAATTACCCGTTGACAATGACTCCTTAAAGTCGGCCTAAGCGCTGTTTTGTCAACGTGAAAGCGGGTCTATAAATCACGGGTCGAAACATCGTCGAGAGAGAACGGGTCGTGAAATCAGGAAATCTCTGTCATTTCATGTAACTTATTCCTGTTATTATCAGCAACTTTGACAATGGCTCGCGTTGCGCAATCGAAGCCGCCTGGCAGGTTGATGCTCGCCTGATAATAATTACACCTGTGCCAGAGCGTGAACGCGTTCCTTGATCCTCTGAGAAAGCGTGCAATACTACGTTTCATGAATTTCCATTCACGCTAACCTAGCCTAACCGTGAAACAATGCCGCGAGTCGATCGCCACCGCGATTCACTATCGGTAAGATAGAAGAAATTCTACAAGTAATTGCTGTTTTGATTAACGCCCGATGACGCTCAATCGCATTTGATCGAACTCACACGTGTCGCGTTGCATAATACGAAACAGGCTCGTAAACGTAAGACGAATAAGATCTACGAGTTTATTCAATGACACTCATTAACCCCTCGCCGTACAATTTAGCTCGGGGAAAGTCGGGCTTTGTACATTCCCAGGTCGTTTCCCGCCGCATTTTATTCTTATAGCAGGCTTTGCATATTCTCGTTGTACATGAGATTATGATCACGAGCCTAACTCGTGATGTCCACGTTTGGCATGAAATTATAATCACAAGTTCGACTCATGATATTCATGTTTAGTACAAAATTCTACTTACGAGTCAGACTCGTTAAAGTACGGCAACGGGTTAAGGTTGTATGAACCCTTGAATAAAAAACATGACATGGCATTTAAATTTTAACAATTATTAGATATTAAATTAATAAAACGCTGTAAGAAATTTTAGAAATTTCGCGAGGATATTAAAAAAGTTACTGCAACTTGAATTCTTTAAGGTAGACAATAAAAAGCCAGCAAAAATGAAAATTATAGGATTTGCAGACAATGTGGATACTAAATGACTCAACTTCTGTTCACGTAACGATTTATCATTTCATTGATTTGACTTTCGTCTTTCTGAAGAGGTACCTGTCGACCGGAAAATATTCTCACGTAAGGACGAAAAGTGTAAACTCATATTTTGCACTATTTTTGTCTGGTTATCGATAAAACAGTACAAAAAAATCAAAATTCTTCCGACGCGTGTTAGAAAAGTCAGGTGACTATCATCTGAATTTTGCTGAATCAGCGGTAATCAGCTGAATTATGTATTACATAAAAGAGGATGTAAAGTGATTTTAATTATTAGCAGACAGAAATGCAGTTTTACATAATTGCGCACTCTCATGTTATAAAAACATTTCCAGTCTAATTACGTCCGAAGCTCGTAAACTTTTGAAAAGTCGGATAAGTTACAGATTCGTAGAACTCGATTTTCCACCAGTTTTTCTGCCCACTGTCGTTCCGGCTAATTGGCCATCAGAGTTTACAGAGCGAAGGAAAGCATCGCGCGCGGTTGTCTTGACCCAATTACCCGTTGACAATGACTCCTTAAAGTCGGCCTAAGCGCTGTTTTGTCAACGTGAAAGCGGGTCTATAAATCACGGGTCGAAACATCGTCGAGAGAGAACGGGTCGTGAAATCAGGAAATCTCTGTCATTTCATGTAACTTATTCCTGTTATTATCAGCAACTTTGACAATGGCTCGCGTTGCGCAATCGAAGCCGCCTGGCAGGTTGATGCTCGCCTGATAATAATTACACCTGTGCCAGAGCGTGAACGCGTTCCTTGATCCTCTGAGAAAGCGTGCAATACTACGTTTCATGAATTTCCATTCACGCTAACCTAGCCTAACCGTGAAACAATGCCGCGAGTCGATCGCCACCGCGATTCACTATCGGTAAGATAGAAGAAATTCTACAAGTAATTGCTGTTTTGATTAACGCCCGATGACGCTCAATCGCATTTGATCGAACTCACACGTGTCGCGTTGCATAATACGAAACAGGCTCGTAAACGTAAGACGAATAAGATCTACGAGTTTATTCAATGACACTCATTAACCCCTCGCCGTACAATTTAGCTCGGGGAAAGTCGGGCTTTGTACATTCCCAGGTCGTTTCCCGCCGCATTTTATTCTTATAGCAGGCTTTGCATATTCTCGTTGTACATGAGATTATGATCACGAGCCTAACTCGTGATGTCCACGTTTGGCATGAAATTATAATCACAAGTTCGACTCATGATATTCATGTTTAGTACAAAATTCTACTTACGAGTCAGACTCGTTAAAGTACGGCAACGGGTTAAGGTTGTATGAACCCTTGAATAAAAAACATGACATGGCATTTAAATTTTAACAATTATTAGATATTAAATTAATAAAACGCTGTAAGAAATTTTAGAAATTTCGCGAGGATATTAAAAAAGTTACTGCAACTTGAATTCTTTAAGGTAGACAATAAAAAGCCAGCAAAAATGAAAATTATAGGATTTGCAGACAATGTGGATACTAAATGACTCAACTTCTGTTCACGTAACGATTTATCATTTCATGTACAATGATAAGTCAGTTTCTACTAATTGTGACGTGAACAGAAATTAGGACTTCCACTAGATCGCTTCAACTATTGGGTATAACTTCTTATCAAATTACTTAAACTGTTGTCAGAGATCTTACGGCTCATACAACTTGAAACAAACATATTTTACACTTGAACCAATAATAGAATCTTATTAATACTAATTTAATTAATTTCTGGCCTTGCACATAAAATGCTAAATAGTATACTTACTCGACAAGTTTTATCAGATAAATATGTGCAAACTATTAATAAAACAGAATGACCTAGAACCAGTATCATCGAACGGACTATTCAATTAATGCACGCGTTTCATCGAACGGGAAAACTTACGCACATGAATCAGAGTTTACGTTCGCGGATTTGCATATTATGCAGATGAAAAGGAGAATACTCGCGACGATTACAACTCGCGTGCATATGTACACGGAACGCAGCGGCGCTTGCGCGTCTTGTCCGATTGTTTACCGTTAAAAAACGTAGCGCGGTGTTCGGTCCACGTTCAGTGCGAGCGCGACTCTCAATCCGGTATCACGTCATGGTTGGAACTGTCAGGTAGGCGTTCGACAAATCACCGTATTGAGCCACGCTTACGCGATCAATCATCTGTTAAAACCGGCCTTCCGAAGCTTAACGACAATAAGAAAATACTCGATCTTCCTTAAAAGACAGATAAATTTTGCTCCATACGTTACATTATTTCGACACAATACCGTTTTCTAAACAAAAAACAACAGATAGTAGTAGAAACTCCAAAGGTTGTTATATAGTAAACAGACTGATTGTACTTAAGATAGCGTACAATTTTCTGATTAGGAACTATTGTTTTGGCAAGAAAATAATTTTGGTTCTTCCCAAATGCGTTGTGTTATAAAAACGGAAATTACTTTCTCGCCGACCCAATACAAAGTAAGTAGTAAAGGTTTACTGTTTACATCATTTCCTGGCTACAGAAATGTACATATAAATCGTGTCCCAGATATCGTACGTAACGAATCGGACTGTTCAGAATTGATAATAAACGGCGCGAAGACCCGGGCTAAGATAATAGTCATCCTGCCCGTGCATATATTATGCACCCGTTCGCACCTTTGATCCGCGCGACCCTAATTCAATGGTAAGCCGCCCGATCGATTCCCTTTGTGTTAAAACGGGTTCAGGTCGCACGCGACGTACCCACAGAATTTTTAATAACGTTAAACAGTCAGGGGTGATAATTTAATGCAAACATTTCCATGTCGCCATAAATACAGCGCGACGATTATGAAGCCGCGAGAACGTTGTCCTTGGTCGTAGAAGATTCTTGCCAATCGGAGCATAAACTAGCTTGTATCCAGAAAATTAATATTAATCATTTGACGACGGCTTTAAACGGCTATGCCGCATACAAAGATCCTTATGTAATTGCTGTACGGGTGTCCAGCATGTATGCAATTAAATTGACCGCTCGTTTCGTTTTCAGGACCATACAGGATCCAGCCTCCCAGAGGCTGACGTGGTACAAGCCGCCGCTCACTGTTTTGGTGATCAAGAAGGTCCGTGATTCCTCGGTACTGCCGCCGTTTGTACAACTGGCCACATGGCTAATAGAAGTAAGTGCACTTCTTGCATTTATGGTAAGAAAAAAAACTTGCATGTTTTCGCTCGAACTTTGTTTTATGCAAAGCAGTGGTAAAATTGATTGCAAGGAGGAAAGAACTATATCGGGAACAGAAGTACGAATCGCCTAGGTCGCATTATACTTTCATTTCAGTAATTATACTCCTACCTAGAGTAGTACATGCACACAGGCGGCTCGTACTATCGATCCTTATCATGTGACTAGTCAACTTTTCTACGTGTTTTATCGTCGATGATGACCTTGCGTTATTGTTCATTAAATTTACGGCAACGACAAAAGGTTACGCTCGTTTCTACTGCTGATTTACGTAACGCGGTGATGATTATGACGTGCGAATCAATTATCCACAGGAAAAACGGATGGTAGTGTTCGTGGAGGCTTCCGTCCTCGAGGACCCAGCCTTGGCCACGGACCCCAGGTTCCAAGGGGTTCGAGACAGGCTACAGACGTTCAGGGACGGCACCGATGATCTCCAGGTACACATCCACTTCTTCAAAAAAAACGACTGACATAATATTTCTTAAAATAATGGAGACATTGTTGTCTGGTTTCGAGCCATTTAGAATAGACGACGACTTCTGACTTTGTAAAAAATGAGTAGCTTCGCAAATCCATTTCCAGGTCTCGGAATTATTAATTATTGCTCATTTTTGTTGAAGGATCGCATCGATTTCATCGTCTGCCTGGGTGGCGATGGAACTCTTCTCTATGCAAGCTTACTCTTCCAGAAGTCGGTCCCACCGGTGATGGCTTTCCATCTCGGTTCACTAGGGTTCCTCACACCTTTTGAGTTCGATAATTTCCGGGAACAAGTGACGAACGTGTTGGAAGGTGAGCCTTTGATTTTACATCAATTTCCCAATGCAAACAATCAGTAGATTTTATGCATGTATAGAAAATGTTCTGTCCAAATTTAATATGAAGACTCGCCATTAAAAGATGAGTGCATATTACAATAGTTCAGTAGATACTGTTTTATCTTGTATAAAAGTCCGCAGTCTAATAATCAGTATCGCTACCATTTCCCCGCATCATAGCACAATGTGAAAACAGCCAATCGTAGCGGAATGGGACTTTAATAATAATTTAATCGTCGTTGGAGTTAGAAAATGTCATGTGTGATAAAAAGCGGTTTCACCTTTTTGGAGGAATGCCGGGGATTAAAATAAACATGCGTAAACATTCCTCGCAGCATAGCCTTATTGTACAGTAATAAATAACTATCTCCGTCATTACTGCCACTATCGCTTATAATGATTGACATCATCATTAAATGTACGCTCTACCAAGCAAGTCTAACTTCAATGCATCTTCTCAGAACTTATTACAGTACAAATATTCTGCACGTTCACTTTTCATTAAATTCAAATACAGTAAATGACCCAATTCACTGTTCACGTGACAACTTCTCCTCGTTGGCCTATTTTAAATAATCATAAACCAGTGAGTAGAAATTGGAACATTTACTATGAAGTTTCAAAAATTTGATACATCTCTATTCAATCATAATTGAAGCCACATTTCTCAGTGAGCTACGAACCAAGTGAGTCAAAAATGTTCATAAATCGTCTGCTAAAAATCTATTAGCACCCCATAGTGGGTAGAAGGTCGACGACGTGTTAAACAGGAGAGTTATAAATCTGACCGAGCGACGGCGGCGGCCTCGTGTTTCAGGTAACGCGGCCTTGACCTTGAGGAGCCGGCTGGAATGTATCATAAAGCGAAAAGGGGAAGAGAGCAAGGAAGCGAAGTTGCTCGTGTTGAACGAGGTCGTCGTGGACCGAGGGCCATCCCCGTACCTGTCGAACATCGACCTCTTCATCCAGGGCAAGCATGTGACCAGCGTGCAGGGCGACGGTCTGATCGTCAGCACGCCGACCGGGTCGACCGCATACGCAGTCGCCGCTGGCGCGAGCATGATTCATCCTTCGGTACCTGCGATCATGATCACGCCGATCTGCCCTCACTCCTTGTCCTTCAGGCCGATCGTCGTGCCCGCCGGCGTCGAGCTAAAGGTATCACCAAATTTCTTTTCTCATTATCTTATACAAAATAGTAGCTTCCATCAGAAATCGTCAGACAATTATTTCCAAATCACGCTCGATGAAATTCTTACGTTGATTGTTTACAAGTTTCGCGGATCGATACGAGACAGTAATCGTATTAGCATGATACAGTATTTCCGCGTGGGTCAGCGGAGACTATCGCGGCATCCCATAGAAGGAAACTTGGTCCCCGTGGATGTCGCCCGCATTCCCAGACCATGCGTTACCTCCGAGAAATTTTTGAGAAACACGAAGAAGATCGAGTGACGCATATCAATATTGTTTTAACACGAATTTATCCTCTCCCCTGTAGATTTCTGTCTCGCCGGACAGCAGGAACACTTCATGGGTGTCCTTCGACGGCAGAAACAGACAGGAGCTATTCCATGGCGACAGGTAAATGCTAATATCATCTCAGACCAGTCTAACACGCGTTTCTCGCTGTTATTCCAGATAATGGCGAACAGCAACGCACGCAGCACAGCCTACGTCTCCTTCGACGGTCGCAATCAGCAAGAGCTACGCGTTGGGGACAGGTCTGTCGTAAAAGACTCTCCTACATTCCTACTCTCATTCACGAAATGCTATCTTCTTACAAAACAATTCATCTTCAAACTTAATAATCTTTTCTTGTGCCCATTCCATTTCTTAATTCATGGTACTGGCTTTACTTCTTAAGCGGTGACTGATGGAAGATGGGATTTTATCTGTTCGACATTTTTCTGGAGACGTTGGCTGTACTGCAAGCTCTTCATGCTTCGTCTATCGCTACTATTATCACGTTATGCCGATATCATACAATGATGAAAGTCACTTTTCATTTTCTAATATATTTTCGTTATTTTTAGTCTACAGGTGACCACCTCGACTTATCCAGTACCCAGCATCTGCGCTGCGGACCAAATCACCGACTGGTTCGATTCGCTGGCGGAGTGCCTCCACTGGAACGTTCGCAAAAAGCAGAAGCACTTGGATGAACTGAGCGATCTAACCCACTCGTCCAGCAACGATACCTTGGATTCGCTGGATCGCGATAGCTAGGCCAGGCAGGCGAATCGCAATAGACTTTATCCAAGTTGTCAGGTCCTAAACGCTCGACGATCACGAGCTGATGACTCTGACTTCGTTCGACGAAGTCGTCGGTGAGAACAGAAGAGAATGAACTCATCAAGTTAGTCGTTGAATGAACTAAGAAACGTTATCCGTTTGAACATCAGTGTTTCGTTTGAAGTGCTGTTTCGAAGCATTGGAAGAGAATCCGCTGTTTTTTAGAAGAGAGGTTCGTTTGGGCGGGTTCGGTGCACAGCAGAAGTGTATTCTCGCATAACGCATCAACGCATAATTGAAAACCTCCGCAATGATGTTCAGATTCGCTGCTTCTAAACGAATCCTTCATTCTTCTTTATTATTAACGTTTTCGCGAGGAAACCACGAAGATGGTACTAATAGTTGAGATACGAAAATATCTGAATTGTCTAACAGACAAAAATGATAACACTACTTCTTAATGTTCGATCGGAGGTCAAGGAATTGTTGAAAGTGTGTCACGCCGGGTGTTCACATTTATTGTTATACACTTGTGATTAACTCGAATCAATTTGCGTTTTCACATGTCACTTCATGAAAGTGATTTTAATTGCATACGGAAGAGAACACACACGCACGAGCGCGAATCAACTGACGCGTGTAAAGACGCGCGTTGTCGGTCTTCTATTTACCGGCGACGAAGATGAATCCGTTATTTTGTAAAAATTGATGTACTTTTCCTATCAACGAGCATTTTTAATAAACGAAAATCATTTTTGTACAGAATCTATTGTTCTATGCCAATGATACTTATTTGAAAAGGTTCACTTAAATATGGGTGCAGGAAAATTTGATACAAGACAGAACAGTTTTCTGTGTATTATGTAACATGAAGGTACACACACAGATGAAATATTTTATTCAAACGGGAATTGTTTCGAAACGCAGGCGAAAGATCAATGTGTTGAACAATAAATGAAAATGATTATACAAAATCGAGGGAAAGATATTTCAATTGAATTGAAATAAGCATTGAGAGTTTGAGAAATTTGGTGCTAGAATTAAAAAATACATTCTATATAATTCTATAATATAGAGCAATTGTATTTCTTGAAGAGTGCCTTGTTTTCATTCTAGTGAAAAGCATAAAAATGTAAAAGACAATACGTATATTATAAAAAGAGAATGAAGAAGAAGGTAATGATCAAACTTAAAATGCATTTAATGTAAAGGCATTGTAAGTTCCGACGTGGATGCATTTGTTTTTGCACAACCAGACAATTAAATATACATTATATACAAACGTGAAAAGTATTCAAGAGCTTCCTTATTAAACAACAAATTAATACGTAATAGTAAGTAGCACAATCTTCCGGATGGGCCGCAAAAACAGAAAATACGCTCTTAGTATTATCGATTAAACTATAAGATTCACTTTGTAGTCCCACCCATAAAAAATGTGACAAACCGAAAATCATAGTGATCCAACTGAGTTGAAAGAGATTTGCATGTACTTAACTCGGGAACATAATTTCCCATCAATTTTACGACTCATTCCTATGATTTTCAGAGTGACAGATAATAATAGCGAACGCCTGAGCGTCGTTTTACGCAACTTTTATTTAACATAAAACATAAATATTTATTTCTAAGCTCTTACGCATTTGGTTGCATCAGTCGTAGGGATGACGTGTATACGCGTGTACCACTTTGCACGTACATGTGCATACAGGTCAAGAAGTATTTGTCTAATTATTACTCTAATCAACGATCGAACGGCTACTAACTGCTAATTCACTGGTATTTACACTGTTACATCGTTCCTTAACCGAAAGCTATTCAACGACGCGACCACGCGGTCCATCATTGATAATTGAGGCTAGAAACTACGAAAATACAACGCAGAACGACTTACCACTAGTCTGTTTAAATAACAGTGCGTCTCGTTTCGAAGTTAAAGTCCCCTTCGGATTAAAATACAGTCTATAATCAATTACTGGCGAAATGATACGTACTTGTTTTCGGCACGTACACCCGCGTTCACCTCACTCACCACTGTACTCGCGTTTTTGGCGCCTATTGTTTTTGTATCGAACAGTCGAGTGCCAACAGACCGCGAGAACGTGAAAGTTGATTATCATAAAAATGAATGATAATGTTTTTTTCTACGTACGCTAACGAATTCTGTTAACTTTGTATACGAGGATTCGTAGATACTTTCTTCATTTTCATACTAAATTGAAGAAGAATTCTTCGATTTCGATATATCGAATATTACCCGTTTAATAAATTATCGTTCATCGTTAATGGCTGCCTTGTTTCTGTTCTGACCCGGTGACGGATGGAAGTTTGTTGACGTTAAAAATGATCGTGAACATCGTTTTCTCGAGTGAGGAGTGCGTAGTTTTTCTGATTGTCTGCGTTTTAAGCGTTTCCTTCACCGGTTTAGTGTCTGCAGTTGACGAACGTCTCCGTCCTGCCGTTTACGATGCGAACGTAACGAGCACAGGCTCGTACGAAGAGTGCAGGTATTCGCTCGTCTGTAAAAAGAAGAGACATCGCTGTGAGTACATTTTATCTCTAATAACTGAGAAAATTACACGATCCGTTTTGAGACCAAATTCACATCCGCGAGAAATTGTTTTATTGAATAAAACAAAAAAGTAAAAACTCTGGTCATGAATTTTATCTCAGGATAATCAAACTGGCTAAAGTTCAGAATAACCCCCTCGCCCTCAAAGCTTTTTACATAAAACAGATGTGATTCTATTAATTTTTAGGTACTGAACACGAATATGACATTTGTTTTTGGCGAAAATGACAATTTGTATAACAGAAATTACTGAATAATTACAAAACGTGTTTTTTAAATCGAAAAATGTATGAAAGGAAGTGTTTATACAGCATTTAGTAGCGTATCAATGTCGCTGTGAGTACAAGGAATATAATAAAGATCCATTTGAAAACTTCATGGTGTAATCGACTGGCATTTCCTGTTTTGTTTGTTATATCATTTTATAGCTGTAGCGTACATTTTGGGCTTTTTGACTTTGGTATTCTATATTTATCTTTTCTGTTATAAACTACATGTTAAATATATGTATATTTATATAGGGGGCCAACGACCGTTTAAGCATAAAGTGATATATTTGATATAGTAATTTATATTTATAATAATGTACAGGGTAACGGGTTGGTCCGGTTTTATTTGGAGGCCTAAGCATATAGTAATTTATGTGCTAAATGGTTGTATATACATAGTGTGATAACTATTACAGTTTATATATTTATGTAAGCGAGCATTATCGTGTAATGGTTCTTGATAGTTATCATCTAGTAGATAAAAATAAATTTATTTCCGCCGAAAACGATTATCAAATTCGTGTTCAATATCTCAAAATTAGTAAAATTACGTATGTTCAATGTAAAAAGCTTGGAGGGAGGGGGGACTAATCTGAACTCTTGACATCAAACTGATAATTGAAAACCAGCAAAAGTGGAGCAAATGAATATCGCAAAAATCGGTATTCATGAATTTTCTAAACAACAATTATCATTCAAATCTGTTATGACACACGTGTGTTAGGCGTGCGAGTGTATGCAAGCTAGGCAATCGAAATCGTCACACCGGAGTTAGTATTGTTAGAGCACACACTCACATGCCTTCTGATCTGAATCCTGCTCCCCGCAGGAAGGTTGTTGAATATAGAGAGCCGGTTTCAGCGGCCTGCCATCTTGGTCTTCGACTTGCACCACTAAACCGTGGTTGCTACCATTTCCGTGGGGATTCCGTGGATTTAGTTTCCAAAATCGTAGACCCTGCCTCACGTCCATGGCCAGGTGAGTGCCCCACGATGTGAGCGGCGTCACCACAGAGTCCATTAAACGTTTCTTCGCTGTTAACACGTTTTTATTAAATCATATCATCCCGCAATTAACTTTCTGCAATATATTAAACATTTAAATTTCTAATCAGTGGCATATTTTTCTATAATTTGTTTAAAAATGGGAAATTAATGTAGTAAGTAAAAACTGGAACATTTATTATATTCCTTCGAGAAAAGGTAGGATATGTAATGTATTTGATTGAACTCTAGCTCAGTGAATGTACTACATTCTATTCATGTTATGTTTTGCCGAAAGCCTCGAACGTAGAAAGAGAAGGAAATATCGTGCGTCGAACACGAGATAGAAACCCGTCTGTCGAATTATAGTAATAATGGAGCTACAAAACTGTCTTGCTTTTGATTTCATGTCACGCTTAATTTATATAATGAATGTCCCAGTTTTTATTCTCTGGCTTATGATTGCATATAAAATGCTAGGGAAAAAACCCAGTGAGTAGGAATCATTACGTGAACAGAAATTCATTTACTATACATTTTCATATTTATCGAAAGTATACTGCACATAATGAGAAACTTACAACGATGCCTCTTTAACGACTTCGTATAGTAGTACACCGATATCCTAATTTTCTTCTCATCTTCCTCGTCTTCATCAAACGTGCTCTCTGACGAAGAAGTCGAATTTTCTTGCGGTAACTTGAACAGTCTTAGTTTAGCGGCGACGACGTGGTCACCGGACGTTAGATTCAGCTGAAAGTGCATGTTCATCGAGTATGGATCAGCCCAAGCGTCCTGATCCGTGTTCCGTGGGATTTGACCTGATGGAGAACGCGTTGTGAATAAGAAGATTGAATTCTCGACACTCTGGTCATATATAATTAACGTTTTTCATCGAGTGACTTACAGGTAGGCGAGAACATGGTGAGCCTTTCCCGTTGCACCTGGTTGGCGTTGGTGCTGTGGTTGAACCTTCCGGTGAGGGCCAGGACCCGCGACTTGATGTCCTCGATGGCTTTCTCGCCCTGGCTGCACAGAGGAAAGAAGACTCGTGAATCGCCCGGAGAAAAAGGAGAACGAGGTGTCACGGCAATCGACAAATTCCGAGACAGATATTCTTTTTTTGAATCTGTTAGTAGGGCGTGTTTTAGGACGCGGATAGGAGAGGAATTTCGTGTCTGGACGGTGACGTAAAAATTTTCACTCGGAGACGCGAGCAAGCTGTTCCGGGTAGCAGGCCAGGCCAATGGACGGTGGTCAGTGACCCAAAGAGCCCATAGTGTGGGTCAGAGGTATTTATTATACGTTCTAGACATCGACTAGACAGGCGACGCGCAGCACTGGGGCCCCGTCGCCTTATGTACTAGTTAATGCAATCATATTTGCATCTACAATCTTGATCAGATTCGAGTGACACTAAATTATTATCCTTCTCCACGTCCTCTTTTTCTTTTTCGTCGACGACGATATCCTTCGTTTACTAAAAATAAATTATCCTCTCACCTTACCGATTCCCAAGTTTGCTGAAGCGAGATTCTCATAAAAAACTTGACGTTAAAAAATAATACCAAATGAGAATTGAATTGAATTATAAGTCAATCTAATACTATATTTGCACATGGAAAATAAATGTCTGCATCGCGTGTGTGGAAAACTTCGAAGTAGAATTATAAAAATGTGAATTGAAGAAACTGATAAAGACATCAGAATAAGAATGACGGATTTTCTGTGCCTAGTCGAATACCGAGTTTTTTTCTCAACCAAAGAGGGACTTACGTACGATCAGGTGGGATTGCATAATGGAGTCTCTAAGTCGTTAACCGGGCAGAGAGGAAAAAAGAGGAGAGACGTCTTTCCTCCGCGTCACTGGCAAGGATTACCGCGACTCGGACACCCACTTGCACTTTTGAGCACAGCCGATCGCGCGTTCGCGTCAACGACCTCGTCGATGCCTCTTCGGCAAACAAACCGTGGCAGCGTTTTTCCCGAAAAAATACGACGGACCACCGTCTACGAGTCGGAGACTGGCAACGGGTAGACGAGAACGTTTTTGTCCGACGAGACTCCGTCTGTAGTTTGTCCCACTTATTTTTTGCTCGCTGGAACCCCTTTAGGGAAGCGGAAGGGTTACTAAGGAAAAGGAGAACGCGAGGAGTGACGGAATCTCATCGTGAAATCTAAATCCCGACGACGACGACCGCCTGTATGCGTGTATTCGATTCTAGACATGCTCGTTAATCTAGCCGCGTCCAAGTCACGCATTCTACAGCGTCTCGTTGCGTACGTGTCACGTCTGTCTGCCGTCTGGGAAAGGGAAGGACTCGGGTGTCTGGAGGCCGTTGCATCATGAGAATGAATCCAGTGATCCTTCCTGAGTACCGTATTAAGAAAATTGGCTTGCGTTACGGTTTTGTAACAGCCTTCGAACCACCGTCGACACATGGGAATCTCTAATTCACTTCTTCGAAAAGAACATTTTTCGAATTGAATAAACTGTTTTACGTGCTCGCATCAGAGATGTTGCCTACAGAATCAATCAAATTTCCTTTTGGAAATTACCAAAGACAAAACGATAGAAATGGAAGAAACTTAGATCAGCTGTCTAATATTATTGAACGAACGCATGGTCAATGGTAGCTGTAAATAAATGAGGGAGAGTTTGGACAAAGCGTTCCGCCTCCTGCGAAACAGTGAAACGATTGTTTGATCGGCGACTGCCAAAAAGTGCATGTTGCATCGTCTGGCGATGGGTAGCCACTGGCGAAAACATCCTCCTCTCTCTTCGTCGCACGCGGATCGGTTCGTCTTCGTCGGGATAGGAAGAGAGACGCATAGACAAGGTCAGCGCATTAAATTGAAATGTGTTACGTAACCCCGTAAGAGAGCAGTCCTAAATGCAGTCTGAGTAGACACCCGGTGATTACGAGGGTGCTCAACTCGCCGGGATCCTCCGATCTAAACGCATCCGGGCACGTACGAAAAAACCGACTGCCGGCACCAGCCGACAGAACCACTTCCCTGGACCTTCATCCGAATTGTCATCGTTCGATAACACGTGTAGGCCTTTCAATGGATGAAGTAACTCGTTCTCGTCATTATTTTCCATGATATGACTCCACAGAATTTCATCAGGCCCAAATGTGTATGTGTAATCAGTTAGTATTGGTTTTTATCAGTTTTTAAAATCCATAGTGTGTTATACTTCGCATCAGGATATATTTGAGAAAACGGTATTCCAAATACTTTTGTCAACACGCATTAGAATGAAAACATGGTTTGTTTAAGATCGTGCAATTCGAGAAAGGGGGTTAATTAGGGGACCGACCGTTCTAAAGTCGAGTGGCAGCAGGAAGAGTACGGAGGAATCCGAGCAAACCTGAGGAGGAGGTGGAACGACCGGCACACCGGAGGAGGACGTTCAGCAGGCTACGCCAGTGCCAACACGAATGCATACACACACACACACACACACATACACACATTTACGCGTCTAGACTTAATAAAATAAAAGAAACGCCTTCGCACCCGCGCGAGAAGAGAGGCCGAGGTGCCGGAGGAGAAGGAGGGCGATTTAAAAACATAGCTAGGGACCCACGGCGGAATTTCCACCACGCGTCCTTCCTGGCTCTCTTCCCGTCTTCATCCGTGCCTTTCGACAAAATCCTACGTGTTGCTCCATGGATCGTATGCAATTTTTCATATCCGGACTTCTTAACAATTTGTTTACTAAGAATTACTCTCAGAGAATACTCTTTTAGACTTTGAGTTTAACTATTGCTAAGATTTTTCTATTTAGAAAAATGATGAAGATGAAATGGAGGAAAGAATCACTGGTCAGCCCGAGGCGTAGAAACTCGGTGGCGCTTGGCCGTTCTCCATTTCGTCACGATATTTTTACGGGCCATCGAGATATTTTTACGTGGCGGGGGCAATGGTTCGTCGAGAACTCGCCAAGCACTCGTGGTCGAAAAACTGTCGGTCCTCTTCCTCGAGGCGCGATAATTAATTACTAAATCGATTCGGGTAGACAGACGATAACGTTACGCTCCATGCAGACACAACAAAACACACCTCTCGTTGTTAAAACGTGATAAATCGTGTCTCGTGCAACAGAAGCAATGAGATAACGCGATGAAGGAATGTATTTTTAGATTATGCAAGCCAAGCCAGAAAGAAAGCCAGCTGGGTGGCCACGAAAAGAAAATCTCTGACTACGTTCCATTCGGCACACGAATCCCTTACCGAGAAAAAAAACGGCCCATCGGCTTACCTGTCGAAGCTTGAGGTTACGTTTCCTCTAAAAGACACAAAAAGCACATTTTGTAGATATTTCGCTGTACAGCAAAGCGCGAAAAACGACACTTAATGTGATTCAACGAACGAGGGAATATACAAATGATTCATCTTCCCCTCGTAGGTCGAATCTGTATATTGAAACACCGATGGATTAGAACGTGGAAGCATGTGATTTTGCGATTAACTTACCCTCGTCGATGGGCGATGGCCATTTGTACATAGGTGGAGAGATTGGCCAGGGGTAGGTTGCTCGCCGACGCGTTGACGAACTTCACAGAATCCGTAGGGTCGTTCTGGTACTCCGAGGTGTCGTTCTCGTTCTCCTCGACGTCCCACGTCAATGAGGAATTCTGATTAGAGTCCTCGTAAGAGTCGGATGTCTCTTCGGTATTCTCGAAGCCGAGGGAGTCCGCGAACTGCGGTATCACCCGGTAAACGTCGTCCTCAACCCACTCTAACCCTTCGTACTCGGTTCTTCTATTTCCACTGATTTTCTCTTCGCTTTTCGACATGTCAGTCCCCTCGGTGGAATTCGTCTCCGGAACGGTTATATTCGTTCCATTTTCATCCCTCGGTATTTCATCAACCGCTGTAGTCTCGGTATCGACAGTCGTAGTCGAAGCAGAAGACATCGTCGTGCTGGAATAATCATTCGAGTACTTGTTCCTAATATTTGTGCTCAATTGATAGACCAGAGGCACAGCAGTGACAGTAGTTGAAGGAACGGACGGTGTCGTATGAAAGGGTTCGGCAGTACTTTTTGAAGTCGTGTGTCTCGCGATTTGATGCTTCGATAACTTTACGCGATTAGCAGTCTCGTCTGAGCCTGAACTAGAATCGAACTCGGAGTCGTCATAGCGGATCTTGAAGACCACGTGAGGCTCTAAAGCCCTGGTCAAATCCCGATGAAGATTGTTCATTTCGTCGTCGTCCTCCTTGAAGGCTCTAGTAGTCTTTTCATATTCGACATATTCAGACGAAGATGGTTGGAATTCCAAATTAGTGGGCAGATTCTCGTAGTCGAGGATCGCCTGTCGGTTGTAAGCTTCGAAATCGAAGTCTTTGTAAACAGGCTTCTCCACGTGTCGATTTTTTTTATTTTCGCGAATTTTCGCATCTTCCAGTTTCTTCGACGAGTGGACCCAGTATTTACTCTTCTTCTCTTTCGATGAGGACTTGACGCCTTCCTTCTTCCTAATTTCTTCGTCCTTCTTCTTATTCAATTCCCGTTCACGAATCGCGAGCACCTCCTCGAGGCTGTAGTTCAGACTCTTCAGAAGTAACATGTCACCTGTACTGAGGTCACCTGTGATTATCTTTAATATAGCCTTTTCCAACATTTTCTCCAGCCTCTTTTCGCTGAATGGAACTGTCGCTTTAACTTCGTCACCTATTTGGATCTTCTTATTCTTCTCTTCAGGCAGGACCACGTTCTCTTCGTTCCTGGCCGCGTACCTTTTCACGTGGTCCACAACATTTTCCTCCTTATCTTCCACGTGCACGTGATGATGATGGTGACACGAGACACTCTTCGTAACGCAAACGATCAACACGAAGAACCTGAAGAATCCCATCATGACAAATAGGAAACAGTTTCGTCTAGCAAACTTCTTCGTCTTAACAAAGTTCCACTACGTTCAATTTCCCAGTCAAGATCGTTCGGAAACAAGCGGTACCACTTGGTTCATCGGCATGCGACCACTGTTATCGTTCGACGGATCCCATCGTTCATCCGTGCAACCCGCGAGAGCCGAAGCGATTTCGGTGTCGCCTAGGTGCGACCAGCTGGTAAAAAGCCGCGCGCTCTTCCCGTCAAAGCGAGTTAGTGATCCAGAGAATCGTACCAGGACAGACGGACGGTCAGACAGACGGAAGAAGATGAACGGCCCGGTGTCTGCGCGCAGAGAGAGCAAGTGTTAAACGAAACTGGTCCGGAGTGATCCGGAGCGTCGCCGGTTGATCGCGGGACTAGTCTAATCACATCAGGAAGACCGCGGGTATATATGTATGTAAGTGGGAAAGATTCGTGGCATGCGGTGTGCACGGTCTGAGCAGTAAGTCTCAACTGAGCCAAGCTGGCCTGCTCACGGACATAATTCTGTCTACTCACTAATTCCGAGACAAGCACGAGAAGCCGCGAGAGGAGACGCGCCGGTGTTACTACGATCACTCGTTTTTTCTTTTCTTCTTTTTTCTTCTTTTCCCTCGTCTTCTTCGTCTTCTTCTTCTCGTCGCGTGTCCTTTCTCTTTCCCTCGACGATCTCGGTCCCTCTCGCTCCACCCGCCGTGCGCGTGTGGCAATCCCTTTCCCTCGCTCGCCGAAATCCCGCGGACGAATGCCTTTTTCTCTCTCGCTTTACGCTCGACGCACTATCAGCCTCGACCTCTTCTTCTGTTTCTTCTTCTTCTCCGCTGTCTGCTCGATTTTCTACATGCCTTTCCCTAGTTCGCTTTTTTCAATACCAAGACACCCTCGGGAAACCTACTTTCGAGATCTCTTTATCCTTTCACCGCGAGCTGTTATTTGATTCTTCGCTAACCACCGGGAAGCTCAGTTTCCATATCTTCGTCCCCATTTAATTACACTCGGTATATACAATTTTCCACCGTTTTCATAGTGCTTCTTTTGTAATTGCCTTTCATGCAACTTTGTGTCAATAACATAGTCCAGGTTGAAGTTAATTGAATCCCTCTTGGGTACGGAATTAGTTATTTTTCACGAGCTGACGAGTAAATTCGATGCTTCCGCATGACGAGACGCGACATTTGAAGGATGATTTCCGCGAGTTAGACGCGACGCGATGGCACGCTCTGGGAAGTGATTTCCGCGCGTTACAGTCGGCGGGGCACAAAAGGAGGAAGCGAGACGCACGAGAGGCGCGAAAGAAGAAATGATCGCGCAGAGGCACCTTGTATTCGGCTGCTCGTTTCAGGGGCAGCCACATACGACTTTATAGGGTGTCTCCCTCTCCGCTGTCTAGACGAATCGAAAGATATGATCTTTGAATCATAATGTATCACTTTTAATAAATGCAGCCTCCGCGTGCGTGCGTGAAAATACGATGCGTGGCAGCGCACGTCGACGACGACGGGGGCCCAAAAAGACGAAACGGGGAACGAGGAGTGAGAGGAGGAGAAAAAACACTGCGGAGATCGGGAGAAAGAAAAGGAGGTAAAGAGAGAGCGAGATATATATATATACCGGGAGAGAGAGAGACACTAGAAATGAGGCTGGTACTCGTGATCGGTTCGGTTTTTTAGTTCTGTGGAAATCCACGGATTTACAGAAATTCGCGACTTTTCCTCTTCGCGGAATGACCGAATCAGGTATTCGGGTCGTTGTTGACGTAAATTACGGCGACACAATCGAATTTGGAAATTGGGTTAAAGGATTCGGTTCTCTGAACCTGTCCGCTCTAACGGTGGTCGGACCGTTCGAGCATCTGCCGGCTGGCATTAAATCACTCGCGATAGCGATAACGCGTCCTGGTTTTACCGAAAGTACCTAACACTATTTTTAGGTATTAATTATTTAATTCCTTAGCGGAACATCTATTTATAATCGAATTCAAGTCCTATTTGACATTAATAAGGTTTATAAGCTGGGCACGTGTCGTAATAGGAAAGACTATGTATGAAAGACTTGTATTGGTGAATAAGTTCGTTAGGGCTTTTAGGATGGAATGAAACACTATTTCTTTGACGCACAGGATTGATTTTATTCAATTATCATCAATGCTGCAGAGTTTTCATTTTTATAACCCCACTGTGTGAGATTTACAGAGTTTCATGTATTTTTGAAAATTCTATATAATAGGTGGTTCTATAATTACATAATATCTGCTATTTATTAATGATCATTTCCGGCAAACAACCCTAATCTGAACTGTACTCTATTTCCACTTCCTTAAATTGTTTATCACAAAATATCTATAGACATACTCTGTGCTCTTGATTGAAATTAGGGAAAATATGCATGTAAATTTATGTTACAGAGAGGAATTAATAGGTAGATCCGTTTGCATCATAAAATAGTTTATATTTGATGTAGACGCTTGGAAAACACGTTGTTGTTAGAAATATAACAGGCTTCTGGCTTCCACGTGAATAGACTCAAGTGTTTAGTCGAGCTGCAAACGTTTAGAAATTTAAAAAATCGCAGTTCTTCATGACACGATCTAAAACTGAGATGAATTGAATAATTTTTACATTTTTCGGTGTGTCTAACTTTTTCATGTTTCCACCAATTTTTGTGTAACTGCAGGCGTATTACATGCAAATTTTCTATAATTGCATAGAAGTCAGTAGTCCGATGATAATTGCTGACAGACAGCCATAATGTAAACTCAATCTCAAATTGTTTATCGCAAATTGTTTATGGACGCACGATTAGAAAATAATATTAAAATGTTAGAAACGTTCATCGAATAATTTCTCAAATACATTTCGATAATCGTTGGTAGAAGAGATCTTTCTGGAATCGGAAGCTATACGATAAACAGATCGTCCAGGAAAAGAGAGATAGCCCACTTTGTTCAACCCCCGCCCCCCAATAGTTATATAGTAACGTTGCTCTCGTTAACCAATGCGTTTGGATCACGCGTGTATACAATAATAATCATTGCACGTAGACGCGTGCACGCATTTAAATGAACGAAAGGAGAGGAACGTCGGACGAAGAAGGAACGTGGCACGAGGGACAGCGTTTAGAAAGAGACGAGTAACACGATCCTAATCGTCAGAACGTCCCGACGATGCAACGCAACTTGGCTGGTCTGACGTCATCTCCGAATCCTCCGTCGGGATTCGGACGTGCGGACAGACAATCTGGCGTCTAGACGTACTGAAATAAATAACGCGGCTCGCCATCAAACCGTTGTTTGCACTCGTAACACTCATCCGTCGGCCTTGTCGGGGCCCCAGCATAGAGCGGAACTCCGACCCGCGTTCGACCATCCGCGTGGCATTAATCTGGATCGTACGATTAGCATGCCAGGAGCCGGCCGCGTGCCTTCCTTTCGTGTTCGAAGGAAATTTCGTCACGCCGCGTTACCGATTTACAAATTTTATGACCGAACAAACTAGTAATTAACCGTACGATTAATTGAAGGAGTGCATGAGATTTCAATTAAGGTAATCGTCCCAATTTATACTCATAACATTTTTTTATTATTTCATATATTATTTTAAAATTATAAAAAAATAAGCCAGTGAATAGAAATCTGGAGGTAGACAGAAATTGGGACGTTTACTTTACAATTAGAAGAGTTTTCACTTTTGGAGTTCGATCTTTACTCTTCTACGTTGCACCGAACGGAGTCACCGATTACGCACGTTGGTTCGAGGAGCCGGGCGAAATTTTGGGCCGGTTCCCCGATTTTCCTGGTAACGCTTTTACGGAATAAACGATTCGAGTGAAAACCGCGAGCGCGTCCAGAGTGCCGCCCACGTCCGGCAAATTGTTTCTTCGATTGGAAGCTGAAAACGGGGGCGAGATGCAGGGGGAGAGGGAGGAAGGAGAGTACCTGAGAAGCGGGCAAACAGTTTGGCGAAGAGCCGCGCAGGGCAGAAGGAGACGGAGAGAAAAAACAAACCATGGAAATGGTGCAATTTGCATGGCTCGAACGCGTCTCTCTCTCTTTCTATCTCCTTTTTTCTCTCTCCCCCACCTTCGCGTGGTGGCAGACGGCAATCGAGATAAGGAGTACCTGGAATCCGGCAGGAGCGAGAGCTCCGGGTCCCGCCTTGCGCTTCGTGGAACCGATATTTGAATTTCGGATCGCAATTGCGCAATCGCGCACCCACGCATAGGTGCGCATCCCGCGTGGAATTGTCCAACGAACGATCTCGTGGGATCGCTTGAAATCGAAAACACCGGCCCCCCGAGGTCGCGCCACCCTCGTTATAATACTCCCGCATTTTTACCGGGGCCCAGGTAAAATATTCAAGCGCCTACGTAGAAGATAGTCGATCTCGTGATCCGATCGAGAATTTGTCACACGCCGTTACGTCATGCAATTATAATAAATCAATGGATTTAGAGGAAAAGAAAAACATTTGATAAGATCTGTCGTTGGCAACGAGATTCCAAAGGGGACGATCATGAAGAACTTCGACCGGCTGCAATTTTCCTTATCATAACAGGGAGATTACATTTATCGTATCGTAAAAGATCGCATCGATAGAGACGCAATTACGGTTTTCACAGCGTTATAAAAACCGAAATCGCTCTATTGCTAATCTAATAACTCCTTGTGGTTGTAAAGAAGATAGTTTTGTAAGAGAGCGATGCAATTGAGCAGACGTGGACTCGGAATGCGAAGGTGAATTAAAAAACGATCTAGCACGCGACTCCCTCGCGAAGACGCGGGACTCGGATTCCGTGCTCCAGCTATATTCTGCGTCGGTTCCGATGTCTCTGTTATCTTCGGCCGGCGATCATCTTCTGAAAGCTCGGTAGCCAGTGAAAAATTAATCTCTGCGCGTGGACACGCGCTGGATCGAGATGGGGGGACAAGGATTCTGCGCCCGCAGCGAATTTATTTAATCTCTGATCTCCGACTAACCAGACATCATTTTATAGATTAAAAAACAACATCTGCAGCATTTACAGAATATTTTATCGCGGCGTGAATTAAAATATCAAGCTGGCATGAAGAAAATGAAGGATGGAAAATCTCCCATTCGCAATTAACGAATATTTTATTCGGAATGAGTCGTCGCGCGTTCGACGGCCGAGCACGGTCCAATTAAAAATACATTGGGGGATGATTTAACTCGATAGGCAATCACGGCTGGCCTCTCGTAAATTCTTCTCGAACGGTAACGTAAATACGGGTCCTGTTATTTCCAATTAGGAATGCATTAAAATTGTCGCGCTGCATGATTTAACGCGGGGCGTCCGTGATGAATCGCCGCCGCCGCCGCCGCCTCCCCCGAATTCTGTCGCGGACGGTTTCGTTTCTCCCAACAGAAACCCGCGCGCGTGTCCCGCCGTGGCAAGATGAGCTGCGGGACGAAACAAGAGGAACAGGAAGAGGGATGGATCGTCTCTCCAATTTTCTTCTTGGTTCTCGTCTGTCTCTCCTCCTGTACCCCGGTGCGGCTGGAGCCAGGTCATCTGGTTTACTGTTTCCACCGTGGCCAGCAAGTATACTACGCAATTCCGCGCGTTGAATTCCTCTGTGGGAATCACACAGAATTCGCTCATGGATCAGATACGATACTCAATCTCGAATCTCGCGGCTTGTCTTCTTCTTAATTACCCCTTGTGGGAAAAAAGTATTGTATCATACTTTAACATTTTTATAAGCGAAAAGACGTATAGTAAATGTCATAATTTCTACTCAGTGCCCTTCTTTCTCTATAATATTATACACAATCTTGTATCAGTTAATAGGGATTGTGACGTGAACAGAAATTGGGACATTTATTATAGTAGAGTTTGAGCAATATTGAAAATGAAAATAGGAGAATCGTTTTATACATTTTATTGGAAATTCTGAACACTGGATATGAAAATCTTGTATATCTTCGTTTATTTATTTTACTAGTTTTTGGGGTGTATGTTGAAGGGAAAAGTTGTTGCGAGAGGTAGAATTTACGTGGAATCTTGAAGAACTCTGTTGAATTTGCAGCGGGAGGATGCACGAGCTGGAGCGCGTGTTTATCCGCAAGCGATGCTCCACAGTTTTCGCTATTCCCATCGTCTCTGGCCCGGTGCCAGGTACCTAAAACTGGCCCGGTGATCCTCTACTACGTAGAACAGGAAAATAGAGGAGGTCTACAGAATTATCAAGGCCGTAGACAGTTCGGCGGGCCGGGATCGCCGCGAAGAATGCAAAATTGCGCGCTAGACCCCGGGAACGTACATTATCTACGTCAATCGGTTGACGTCTACCGGTCAATCTTGAAATAAGTCATACCGGTTCCTCTATTCTTAGGTCCAGAACAAACAAATCCATCTTGTCTACAGAGTATGAAAAATTTCAGCGAATAATCAATAGGTAAAAAAAATTTAATGCCTTCGATAGAAATTAATAATAAAAAATAATAATGATATAATCCGAATTTGATCCTAATCAAAGGGATTAGGGTCGATTGAATGAAGATTCGTAAGAAATATTCTCCGATTCATAAAAAAGAAATTAACAAAAATTCGATAAAATATTTGAATAATTTTAAAAATAATTTATTATAAATTGTTTAAATATTTTATGGCGTTTCTATTCTACCTACTTTTTCATTAATTGGGGACCTTCTCTTAAAATCTGCGTTCAATCGACTAAATAATCCTCACGACTATAATCAATTTGATGTGGAATGAATGAAGTATGTGGATCAAGGGCAGTTTATCTGCATACCCTTGAGCTAGCTTCCGTTTCTCTCGATCGCTGTATAAGCACTGTCTAGAGGCAACAGAATTCCCGGCAGCTGGAGCGTCAGATAGCGCGAAAAACACGTGGGCCTGGTTTCCAACAAAAATTCGTACGTGACTCGCGACGGAACTTCTCCCATCGCGTCGCGTCTCGCCTAGATAAGACCCGCGTCATCTTCCTGAACCACCTCGTTCCTCAGCTTATCTCCCATCGAATAACATCACCTACACTTCCTACCTACAAATTTGCAAATATTATTATTCCACACAGGATTTAGTGATCTTATGGGAAAAAATGATGCGAGTGTATCACAAGGCTTGAACTGAAAGTTTGAAAAGTGTATCATCGTTCCCTGATTTAAATACGAAGTATATTTGACAGTTTTTTATAATTGTATATACCAGAGGTGGGGAACATGCGGCCCCGAGGCCGCATGCGACCTCCGCCAGTTTCTTGTGCGGCATCTTTGTACGGTTCCAAAAGTTATTTATATTTTAATCTAT